AGCTCCAGGGACCTATCCTGCTCATAGTCTCCTATTTGAAAAATAATGCTATATGGCCACTCCTGTGCTCTTTGACCCCACTTTCCAGATGTACCTCTCAGTAGATCACAGGTCAGGCCAACAAGGTAACTCTGGTAGGCAGGGTAGAAGGGCCAGAGCAAGCCACAGTGCTGCACTGAAAATGTATGAGATACAGGCTTAGTTGCAAAATAGGAATGAGGCTCCATTTCCTGATGAGCTGCTGCCTGAAACAGAAATCTCACCCTCCCATAGTCTTTTCCCTCTCTCCTCCACTTTGCTGGAAGAAGCAGTTGTGTAGTCACATAGTCAACCAGCTCAAAAAGCTGATTTGGCTGAAAACTTACCTTTTTTGTGTGCTGAGTTTATTTTGGCAGCTGTGAGACTTAGAGTGGCTCAAGATCATCATAGATTTATGCCTCAAGTCTTGCATTTCATGATGTGAGATTTGCCAGGTCAGCTGTACCAGTGACCCATACACGAAACACTAACAAACACTAACATTTGCTATATGCATAATAGAAATACTACACCACAAAAAGGATGTTAAAAGAATGTTAAGCTTCCACTCAATAGTCACTTCCTTTGATGTGACTAACTTGTCTTCGGGTTCCTTATTTATTTCTTGCTTCAGTGTGAGATCAGAATTAGAACTACATACTTTAAAAATGTTCCAGTAATTGTTCCAATATGTACATGCATGGGTTTATTAATGCTTTCAAGCTGCAGAGCAATAAATGGAATAATAAATGAATGCAGTTAGATATGTTTAAAAGTCTTACAATGTTTAAGAAATAATGTATACAAACCACAGAGACTGAATGGTGCATCCCAACAGATTCACATGAGGCCAGCTGCGTCCTGTTACACACAAGCACTGAGAACTGTGCCTTGGTTTGGGATGTGAAGAAAACTTGTATTTGTTCTGCAACTGCAGCAGTTCTCATCTTCCAAGCTGATATTAGGGAAAAAGACTTACCTTTAGATTTACAAGGACCATATATTATATTCTAAATTGTTATATTTAAAATAAATGCCTTTTTTTAGTTAAGTCACATCAAATGATATGCAAGTAATTAATTTGATTCCCACAAGTTACTTTCTATACTGATAAACGCTTGATCTACTGGGGATACACAGAAGTAGCAAGCTGACAAATCTCTGCCATAATTTACAAGCTACGGTGATGTGAACACATCTCACTTGCTTACTGGAGAAGACTAATATCTCGTGACTGATTTAAATATTTTTCACAATTTAATATTATGTAATTAAAAAAAAATGTTTACCTGGAAATTCTCCATGAGCAAATGGACATTTAACCCAAGAGCCTTGCTTGGTTGTAAACTGAAAGCAGAGAAATCTGTTAGGAAAACTGATTTTTCAGTTTCAATCTGTAGCTACAGATTCAACTAGAGATGACCAGTGCATTCCAGAAAGTTGCAGAAGGTGAATTTACAGCTTTCCTGGTCTATGGTATCTTCCAACCCTTGATTTAAGTTAGGTCCCCCAATTCTTCATATATTTATGCACATGCTTGTTTTACAGAAACATGCAGTTCTACTGACTTGAAAGTAATCTAAAAGAAAACACTAATATGCCTATATTAACCTTAAGTGGCATTTTTTCTCAACTAGAGTAATAAAAGGTACTACAGTAAATGTAGTATATTGATCACTTTTATTACCAAATATTTAATATGGAAAACTTTATATGCTGTTTAGTGCATGCTTCAGAGTTTGCATTGACTTTAAACATTTTTTCCCAGCTTTTCTTAAGCAAACAGATGGCGCAATCTGACCTGTCCTATCTATGATGCTGCTGCACTTCAAAGAACCTCCTTTTAATCTAATCTTTCACATTTCCTTCATTCTTACTTCCCATTCATCAGAGTGATGAAGCAAAATATTGATCCTAAAGAACATCAGCAACAATGTTAGAGCTGACAGTAAGAGGGCAGTCAATAGGTGTTTTACAAAGAAATCCCTTTACCTTCATGCAAAGTCTTGGGTGAGTGTCCACACGAGAATATTTAACCTGCTTGAAAAGAGAGCACTCAGCATTAGCTAGTTTCATTAACTAGTTTCACAAAGTCAATTACCCAAAATTTTCATCGTTTGATTACTGAGAAAGGAACTCATTTATTCCATCCTAGCAAGTTAATCACATAAAATAGTAAGAATAGAAACAACTGCTACTTTGGATAACTGAATAATTTGCTTCTTTTTATCTGTAACATGTCGCTTTTTTTATAGTCAGTCTGACTAAGAGCTAAATTAATTGATTCTATGGTGGCTTGTGTGCAAAATTCTGATTACACAGTCATCTTGTTTCAGTCCCTTATTTACCATTCATCAACGACTCAGCAAAACATTTAAACATACACCCAAAAGTGTTGTTCCACCTTCAGTTCAGAAATTTTTCAATTTTCTGTATCCCTATTCCAGAAAAGACTTAAATGTAGACTGAATTTTAGACATCCACTTAAGTGACCTACAAAATGTTGCATTCTTGATTAACTGCTTACCCACCAAGGACATCACCATAAAAAGCCTTTTCTCATGTAAACAATTGCTACACATGTAAGTGATACTACTTAAATAAACACCATTGCTCAATTGACTGAGTACAATGGACCTTACACACAACACACGGCATGGTGACCAAAGTAACACCTCTTTCCTGTAATTTTTTTGAGAAGAACATAACGGATGTCTTTGGGTATGTCTACAACAGGGTCACAGAAGATAGTTCTGTAAGAGTCCACTCTTATATGGAGACAGCATTGCCATGGACAGAGAAAGCCCCACCCTAATTAGAGAGAAGAGTTATGTAGCTTTTGGACCTAAGTCAGTACATGTGCATAGTATTAGAGTGTGCGGCATTGTGTGGATTTACTGGGGGAGCTGGCACTATGTGAGGAATCTCTGCAGTAGTCTCCAGCACACTATAGAGAAGTTCTTCAGGGTTACAGTACAAGAAATGGACCAAATTCAATATCAACCCGTTTAGGATGAATTAGAAAAGAGGGGAAAATCATTGTGTCCATGAATATTAATAAATACAGGAAAACATTCATAGTCTATAATTAACTAATCTTGGACCGTGTTCTGGGCAACAGATATGACCATTACCAGCTAAACCTCATTTTAGGCTTCTTTCTTTCTCTTTTCTTTCTTTTTTTTTTTTTCTTTTCTTTTTTCTTTCCTGCAAGTCTTGAGTTGTGCTTCTTGTCAGCAGATGATGAATCCCACAGGGACCACTCACATGTATAAATTTGAAAATATTTGGTTTTGCAAGATCAAAGCTTTGTTGAAACCCATAAAATGGTGAATCTGAACAATCACTAAACACTTGGACAGGAGTTCCTAATCAAAAAAGCATTCAACAGTCTTGAGTCAGTCCAATCATGTCGTCAGAATAATACTCATAAAGTTTCAAAAAATACAAATTTGTATTTGATTTTATTTGCCTTTTCAGTTGTTACCTCAAGTTTACTGGCTTCTCTCCACAATCAGGAAAGGCTGAAACCTACTTTTCAAGACAAAAGCCAGAATTCTAACCAACCTCATAAATCCAGTGCATTCAGCATCACGAGACTTCAGATTGAAGTATTAAGCCGTTCAATATACATGCAATGAAAACCCTTTTCTACTTTAGAACGTAAGTGCTGGAAGAGCTGAGGAACCCAACATTGCAACACACGCAATTTCAAGACATTGGACCAGGTTGAGGAAGGCACTTCGAAGAGATCTTAATAGAGTAAAAAACAATTTTGCCCTACCAAAGTACTGTTATGTCTCCAGTAAGTTTTAAAGAGATTTAGCTTCATCTCACTGACATTTTAGGTGTCTAAATGTTAAATATCCAAATCTGATCTAATCACAACAGACTCGTGATAGTCAGTAAAAAGAAAAAGGTATCTTCAGAGAGAACATTTCTTATATGCCTGTCTTCAGATAAGAAGAGTTGTCCTCTCCATATGTCTGTTTCACTCACCTAAAGGGAATCTGACAGGAATGGCATAGACTTGAACACCTATCTTTTAGGCAGCAAAATCAGGGCAGATGAATCATGCCTTTGCTATAAATGAAAAGCAGACCTTATTTACCCCAAAGAATTTAGCAAACATTACTAGCTTCACAGTCATCTCTACTTTTTATTTCTTAATAGTGAGTCAGTGAGCTCTTTGAATATATCATGTGGTTAGTGTACAAGAACAGACTGTGATTATGAATAGTTTTAAGTATCTGAGAAGAAGAGAGGAATTTGCAACTGCTCTTATTCCAAAGTCTAGTTCTTCACATTATGCCTTTGGTCACGGCCTTCAATCTCACAGTTTGAATAAATCTGCATAGCTCTTACTTTCTCAGGAGAATTTTTGGAAGAGTTTTGTATATCTTCACAGTAGTCATTAGACTTCGTTAACCGGCATAGGTTAACCATGACAAGCACAGGACAGGCTGGCTCCCAAGCTAGGGTTTGTGTCGCTGGGTTGTAAACAATATTGTCCCATAGCGCCTTCGTATCTGTGCACAAAGAGTGGAAACATTATTTAAGATGTCTAAAAATGAATCAAAATTGTTCATAAATCCGGTACGGATACATGCGCTTAAACCCAAAAGCATTGCTTTTCCATTTCCTCATCATTTTCACCAATCAGAATTGCAGTGTTTCACATTGTGACAGTGTAAAACTTGCATTCATCCCACCAAAGTGTTGGCATTTACCAGAGGTACTCAACCCGAGAGCTTAGTCTTACCAATCTCCCACTACGGTGATAGATAGGCATCACCTGGGAATGACGCCTCAGCTCTTAAGTAGGCTGCACAAGCTCCTGGCAGTGCATTCTGTGCCCATCAATCACAGAGGGAGTGTAACGCAAGTAAATTCCTAACCAAGGACCTTCAGTTAACTGTGTATGTTAAATGGGAATGAATCCATACGTTAGTGACTAGAGGTCATGGTATTGGAGACTCAGACTCTGTGTCTTGTGTAGGACTTACATGAGCACAATGTATATGTAAGAAGATAAATTCAAGCCTTTATCTGAATATCAAGAACTCAATAGTAAACAAAGCTGTGCAAGTAATTCACAGTAAATATTTTTTCTACAGCATTTATATAAATCTTCTTTCTATGTATACTGTGCACACTGTAATTTCAGAGCTAGTCAACATATATTTGGGGATATCCTAAATAGGCACTATTATATAATAAAAGCTGTCTTATTTATTTGATTGGTTACATTAGTCACTTCGTACTGACTTTCTTTTCCATTGAGCTGCACAGGGATAAGAGAATTTCCAGCATGAAATTCAAACTGTTTTTCAAACTGTATTTCAATATTTCAAACTGTATTTCAGTTCCTACTTCAAGAAGTAATTTGGAAAGTTATACATTTGCCTAATAGTCAGGAGAAAAATATATTTTTGCAGCTATTTGTGAAGCAAAAATTTGAAAACATGGCCAGCTGGACGTTCAAGGAGTGAACAAACAATACCCATGACTAGAAAATGTAGCAAAGTGAAGAAGCACAGTCAATATCAAAGAGTGGAAACACCAGGTGTCCAAATTCAACTCCCATCAAGCATAACAACAATTCCTATCGGTATTGCTTCTCACAGAAATGTTCCGAAATAAAGCCTTTTGATATTTTCAAATAGAAACCTTCCAGACCCTTTAATTCTGCCAAGCCTCCTGCTGTCTTAACTTTGTGTCCAAATGTGTATATATCAAAATAATGAAATTTTCTATGAAGTGGAGATTTTTATTCTGTTTTGAAAAAAATGCTGGAAATTTTGATTCTTTTTTAAAAATGCTGTTTTTAATAAATGGACATGTACTATAAAGCTAATGTTTAGAGAATATTTAACCTGAGTGCAAAGTCCTGGGTCTCAACAGTTCTAACAGTTTTCACAGCTATGTTTTGAATGTTATAGGAGTCTGTAATGATGTAGATATACTGTAAATGTAACCCTAATAGTTAAGAGAATAGCACCACAATTAAGACTTCTCAGGTTTGTTTCCAGGCCTGTTCATTGACTTATCACCTGAGTTTCCTCTGTTTTACTCCTGCATGGCATCTACTTATTTCTGTCATAATAAGGTGCTTATTCATCTTCAGTCTCATATAATTGCATTGTTTAGTAACCAACAGACATTCTTTTTTTCCTTTTTTTCTTCTCTGAGTTACATTAATCCAAAACAGTTATTATATGGAGGAGCTTCTTTCTGATGCACAACTGTTAATTACATTGATAATAAATGAGCCAAAAAAAAACCAATCTACTTTAGATATTCCAGCAAATAGAGTGGTCAGGTAGGAAAAAGAAAGATTTAAAAAGAAAACAGTGTGGCTCAAAAGCTGGAAATCCTTATATACTTAAATAACTGGGTGCTAGAGTCTGAAAAATTGCTTGAAATTCCTGAAAGGAGGATAGTTGAGTAAATGAAAAGTATAGCTGTAAAACGGTATTTCCCATATTCATGTCCTTATCAAAGCTGTAAGTTAAGTTTTCAATTGTAATTGTCCATTGGAACCTCCTAAATGGACAAAAATAATCTTCAAGAGCTTCAGTGTGCCAAAGCACATACTGCTTTTCCTCTGACTCCCTGAAGCTTTGTAACCTCTGCTTCAGCTATCCCCATAGTCCTGATTCAATGGCATCAGAGAGGAGAATGACTGCAGCAGGAGGGGAAGGAAAAGAAGCAGGATACAGAAGGAAGGAAGGAGTCATGGGATTCATGAGCCCAGTTTCCTGCACTTGCAAAGCATCAGCATTTCAAGCACAGGAAACGGGTAGAGGTGGGATAAATTTTGGAAGAAAACAACCTGTGCTCCATGAGACCCAGCCTCAGGCTGAACAGCCGCTAAGAACAGAGGTTAGGACTTCATACTGCAGAGGGCCAACAGGCTTTGCTTTGATCACCTTAAAGCCAGGTCTGACTACATGACATAGACACAGCTACAGACAGAGCTTGAGCATTCCTATAAGCACTCTCTATTACCTAAATGGAGAAAAAAGAAATTCCCTTTTTATTTAGTCAAACTGTACTCCATTGCTACAAAGGAATGGTAATGTCACAAACACTATATTCTGCCCCAATAAAACAAATCAGAAATGAAGGTTGAGCTAACTAAAGAGGAAATTGCTTCCATTCTAACACAAATGTATCAGCCCTGCAAGAATGTGAAAAGATTGCAGGAAATGTCTGTGCAGTTTAATAGTGTTTGGATGCACTGTTATATGTAGGTGTTTTTATTCTCTTTCATTTTTTTTTTTCTTAAATCAAATACTAAAATCTCTTAATGGGCTTCTTAGCATAGTCTGAGGAAAAAAATATTGTTGTACTTATGTTGGACTTAGTAAAACACTTTTTCAGGCTACTCTTTTTTCTATCTGCCCGGTAGAATTTTCAGTAAAGACCTATACAATATGACAACTTCTTTATCACCTGTCATGTCAGACCAAACTGACTTTGCTGGAACACGTTGTGTGAATAATTTCCCATTAAGTATGGGAACTCCCATATGCAGTTAACTGTCTTCTTTTTCAACTCTCTGTTGCCTCCTTAGATGAAATTCATTTTAGATGAATTTCAAATTGTGACATACTACCGGAGCTGCTGAAAATCACTCATATAAAGAGTAATCACACAATAGTTACCATTTTCAAAGGGGCAAAGTTGTATCCTCCTTGCATCTGGAATTGCCAGCCAACCCTACAACCCAAAAAGTGGCCATTAGCTCAAGATTCTCAGATACACCAGCTTTTAACATTTCAGAGACAATGTGACAGAAAAACTTTTCACCAAAGATAAAGATGCTATGTTTATCAGAAAGCTTTGGAAGTAGCTTTTTTTAAGGATGTTTTGCACTAGATATGTATTTTATTGTTCATCATTAGGGGGATTAGAGCTGATGAACTAAGGTGATCACTTCTAGCACTACATTCTTACTACTCCTGAGCACAATTTCATTTAGAAAGTCTTTCAGATTGATTTTCATGAAGTTTCTTACAGTGCCATTACTTTCTAGGGGTATCAAAAGACATTCAAGAATCATAATATCAGTTCTCCTGGCCTTTGTTATGGTAAAGGATGTACCCTTAAAATGTGAGGACTAACACTTAGCCCAATTTGCAAGTATATGTGCGTGGCTGTTACTATACCCTAATTATTTAGATTCACTATTACAGTTCCCATCTGTTTGCTCAGCAACTGTATTGTGGAATTGTCTATGTATATGCAGAGAGGAATAATATCTTTCCAGTGACCTCATACCTTTCAGAGTGGAGTTAAAAAAAAAAAAAAATCCCTAGGCAAGGAAGAGACTTTGTGGTTCAACTCAAATATTAAGGTATGTGATTTTAGGTACCTACAATGTACACATCTGAGTGTGACTAAAGTGCCCAATTTACTATTACAACAGCCTTAAGAAGATCTAGCCAATGCAGCCAGCAGAGTCTACAGTGCTATCCAGCACAGCCCAAAATAGCCGTCTACATTGGTCAGTTGAGTAACTGACTGCATTAACTAGATCTCCATTGACTATAAGAGTCTGGACATCTAATTCAAATGGTATCTACATCTGTCCATTCTGTGTTCTGGACATCTTCATTTAGGTATCTTAATCTGTAAGGTAAATCATACCCCAAAATGCACTGAGAAACTAGGTCATGTAGTATCTTTATATGTTACCAAGATCATTTTAAATTGGCTTGGTGACTTTTTATTCATTTTTATTAAAGTTATTCCAAAATATCACTTCTCAGATTATCAGGAAAAAAAAAATCTGTAGCTATCCTGAAAATATTCATGCAGTAAAGTTTATCCCCCTTCATTCTTGTGGCAAGAATGGCTTTCTCTTAAAAAATCTGTTCTTTTTCCTTATAAGTGACCCATCTGCTGTGTATTTACACAAGAATATTTTCTCTTTGCATGTGTTTTACCAGAATAATGAAAACGTTCTTTGAATCTCCTGTATAAGACAGTCCCTCCATTTCTCAACCATTCTAGATTTTTTACGTATATTTTCCATTTCAATTAATCATTCTTGAATATGGATACAAGAATTGCCTATAGAATCGCAAAGGCGGCCTTGCCCATACTTTCCTATTAATCTGAAATATTCTAACCCACTAGACCTTTGTTCACATTTACATCATGCAAGCATGTTAGTTTAATCATCCTGCGATGAACTACTATACCCAGATGTTTTTTCCTCCACTGTTATTTCTAAATGAGGACTCACATCTTACAGCAAGAATTCTTTTTATTAGACCAAGTGCATGAACTTGCACGTCATATACATTACACTTCATCCTCCTTTAGTTATTTCATGTATGAAGATCTCTAGTCTCTTCCAATTATTCTGACCCTCTTCCATTTTGATTACACCTCTCAACTGTATTATCAGCAAATCTCATGTGGCTGATGATTTGGCACAAGTCACTCCACCACCCGTACCAGCACAAACCACAACACATGTTCCCACCTTTTGTCCCCATGTCATTGATGAAAACGTTTATACAAGAACTGCTCTAAGTGTGGTCCTTAAACAACCTTCCTACTAGCAGAGCCCCATTCAACAGGAGTAATTGAGTTAGCCCTCCAGCTAAGTATTATCTACCATGCAAACCTTGTTCTCACCCCCAGCTTCCTCAATTCCTCTTTTAGTTTCTCATGCAATACTATATCAAAGTCTGTGCTGCAATTCAGTCAGATTAAATTTTCTGTCTTTTCATTGCTTATAAAAAATCAGTCAAATTAATCTTACACAATACTTCCCATAAATTAATGTAAATTGCGTCCCATTTTCTTATCTCCATGTTTTAATTAGTGTTTCCTAAAAAATCTCTTCTGCATTTACATAATCATAAGGTCAGACAAGCCTTAGTCAAAAACTTAGATCTAGAGCCTTTTTCTACAGATTTTTCCTCCTTTCTTAGCACAAATCCCAGAAAAACATTCTTTAATCAGAAACACAAGTATATACCCAATTCCAGACTGTATTACCTCAATGCAAAGACAAGGGAGTAGCTGAGAATATTTCAGAGAAACTGATTTCAAAGATTCCTTCCCTTTTATCTGAAATGAAAAATATGGTCATGAATCCAGGACAATAAATGACTTTTAATAAAGCTAAATAAAGATATAGAAGGGCATTTCCTATAACTATGACCTCAGTCAGCATTTCCACCTACAAGTTACCCTCCACCAGTTCAACGAACTGCTTTGCAGTTTAACTCACCACAGCAAATGCCCCTACATCTTCACAGGTAAACCATTTGTGGCACAGGCGAACATAATAATCTTGGTCTCTAAGAAAGTTGGATACATTCACTGATATAATTTTCCTTGCCCTGTCCACATTGTAATCAAACTTTCCAGCTGTAAAAGAAAATTCAAGCATGAAATTATCACATCTGTTTATTAGTTTATTATTTCTGATTCTGTTATTTCTTTATAAAAGGTACAGAATGTATTTCATAACTTGATGGAGATGAAATTCAACATCTACAGATTCTTACCTTGAATGTTTGTATTATTTTTATATCCTGAAATTCCTAAAGGTATTCTTATTTTATGATACATAATAATTTTCATGAGAATAAATTTCAATGTTATTCAGTTTTAAATTATCACTGGCAGTACTGAGAGGCCAGGACACCTACGGATTGTACCTCAACCTTAGTACTTGAAATCTTATGTAGTTCATGTACAAATACTTGAAACTGACACACTAATACTACTACAAAAGCGGATTATCACAAGGTTGCAATTTCATTTCATAGAGAATATGTGCAACTATGTTAGACAAATACAATATGTGGGGGTATGTTTTAATTTTTTATATATTTATTATTTTATATTCATTTTATTCATTTTTTATATTCATTATTTTGGTACACCAAAATCAGGATAGCAGTTTGGCAAATTTTTCAATGTATTTATGAGGTCTGCCTATGGACAAAATATAAAATCAGCAATCCAAAGTGTATGAAAAGGACACAAACCTATTTGCAGAAGTTTAAGTAGGTTGTCAATATCTTTATCTGCTATCTAGCATTTCCAAGTCAATACAAAGAAACATAATTTCCAGGACATTACCTGTCTACTACATGGGAATTATAAGTAGTGGCAGTTGTAAATCATCTTTTTTTTCCCTGCTTATTCAGCGATGAAAACGTATCATTGTACAGGTCACCAGAAATATCTCAGAGCTTTAAGTGATACAGAGGATCGGCTCACCTGAACAAGCTGGAATATGTTTTCCCACATCACTGTTTCTGCAATCTGCAAAACAGAAAGCATAGTTTTCTTCAGTGCTGCTTTATTTGCATAAATGTGTAAATAAACTGCAAAATTATCCAACAGCTTCCCAACAGGAAACCTATGTCTTATAACCCTTTTTAAAGGCAGATTTGCATCCACTTCTAGATAAACAGCAAGAAAGAAAAGTACCCTTACCACACACAGAGATTATATCACAACTTGCCTTAAGGAGCTATCTCACTAGTGTGGAGTTTCTACTGGAAAACATCAGCAGTTTAAGGTGGCAATCTAGGATATAAGATTGCACTTCTTTACCTAGTATCTAACAAAAATTTAAGTAATAATAGTAACAACAATAAAAATAATAATAATTCCAGTTATTCTTTCTGTGAAAGCTACTCCTATTGTTTACCAGGCTTATTCCTCTGTTATAAACACCTGTATATTTTTGCTGTTCTGACTCTGCTCTAGGCTTACAAAGAAATACCCTGTTAAGCTCCCACAGAGCTAACCAGAATTAGAGGCCAGGCGACACCTTCAGAACAAATATCTAATATATTTATCTTCAAAACTTAAATCTTGATTTAAGAACACTAAGTCAGCTCATAATGTGGTGCCTACTGTTTTCACCTCTCCTTGCTGAGCTCAGTATTAGAGCTCATTTCCCTGCATAGTTCTTTTCCCAGAGAAATATTTCCTATATTAATTTGTTTACTCACCCTTGTAAAGTACCTTAAAACTGGGCTTTATAAAACCTTACTTTCCCCCCTCTTTATTCACAAAGTACATATCTACTTCAGTAGAGAATCAGGACTTATCAGGAAGATGAAAGGCTTTTTAAATACAAAAAGGCTTTACCTCTATGAAAGCGTGACACAGCCACAACGTGTCTGATGCTGTGTGCGAGGGATGATACTGTACCGAGGGCGAGAGCCGCCCACCCACAGGCTCTGGAGATGGGAAGGCAGGAGAAGCCTGGGCACGTGACCAAACCAGGGGTCTTATTTCATCTTTTGCACCACCATTTGGTGCACTCGTAACCACTTGCCACACTGTATCTTGGCTAGACACCAGTGCTGAAGCTATTTTTATACGCATATAGTAGGCACTTTACTCTGAAAATATGGAAAAATGCCACTTTATCTTATCCAGGTACATGAAACAGCTAATGAAAGCAGAAAGAAATTTCTTTACACTTTCTTATTAAGCTTTCCTCAATCTCTGAAACCACCTGTGTCCTAACTATGAAGAGAAGCAGAGGCTCAGTCTTATGTACAGAGAGCACACGGGACCGAACCTGCAGGCAGAGAAAGAGCACGTGCCAATCACAAGAAGGCCAATTAGCACAAATACATATTGTAGCTCAGTTTTGCATGTACTTTAAGATATAACCTCTGGTTTCTGTCTTTTATAGCAAGTCAGACATTTATATGCACAAAATAAATCGTTGAAATGTAGAATAAGACTGGTCCTGGCATGCATGATCTACCATCAGTTAGATCAGTGTATCCCAGAACATGATATGGCTTTGCATTTGGGGTTTTGCAGTTTGGTTTGGTTTCTTTCTTTGAAAAGATGTTTCGTGAAAAACATCTGGTCTAAGATGTTTTCCTACCTTCAACATAGTATTCCTGACTCAGCTTGACTTCACAGTAATTTGGTACTGTTTTCATGGTCACATAGATGTGTTGTGCTACATTGACTTCAATGCAATTGAATTGTACCTGCACCTGTTTAAAACATTTATAAAATCAAGTTTGTGCATGACTTCCAGAATACATGAAAACCATTGGTTATCAGAGTTAAGCAATATTCTCTGTCTAGATTTATTTATATTTACAGGAAGCATTAAGCAGTCTCAGATATTGTATCGTTAAGAATGTAAAAGAAGCAGATAGAATTTAATGAAAGGCTTTCAAAGAGTATCATTGCTTATATTCCAGGATGCCGCCATCTTCTTCATTTCCAGAAATTCAAATACCTACAAGCTATCAAATAATCCTAAAAGCATAGAAATACAGGTACCCAATGCTTCTTGAACTTCAAAAGCAAAAAGGTCCTTCATACTACCAAAAGTCTCACTTTGTAGGCATTTTTAAAAGCACAGACACTTGCAGAATAGGAAAAAAAAGATCTATTTGATCATTTAATGGCAACTTCAGCAAATTTATTAATTCCAGAAACAGTTTGTAAGAAAGTAATTTAGGAGACAAAAGTTGAGGTCCAGTTATCGCAGGTCATTCCCTCACTGACAGCAGTAACTATTAAATCAAACTGAAACAAAGACAATTTCATTAAATATGTTTGTGGAATCTTGCCTATAAACTTACCTTATCCTAAAAGCTACCAGTTGTTCATTGCTGGCCCTGCATTGCCAATAGGGATGTCTGATCATCAAGTGGTACAGAGCACAAACTGCAATAGCAGTTTGGGAGAAGAACTTTGTTTCACATGTGCAATCAATATAACATTTACAGAGCACATGAAGTAACACATTTTGTGTGGGATTAATAACAGTTATCCACCAGTAACTGAAAGCAAAAATTCATCTCTTTTAAACAGTTGGTCAAGGAGGGTTCTTTTCTTTTTTTCCCAGTTGCAAATTTTAATAACAAAGACTTCTGAGTTTAGTTTAGCAAAAAATTGTACTCTGCTGATGCAATTATTACCGCGAATTTAGGACAGATGTGCACAAGTGCTTAGGCACTCAGCTGTCTTGTATATGTGTGAATTCCATTGACATGGTTGGACTTACGTAAATCATATGTATCCACTTAAAATCCCTGTGGCATTCTGCTTCCTAGCAATTGGAGTTACAAAAGCTTCCCCACAATTTGGTGGGCACAAAAAGAAAGCTAGCAAGATTGATATGAAAATTAGGCTTTGCAGAGGCACCTTCTCCTGCAAAAAGATAGGTGGAAGAAGTACAAAAATGGTGCAGAATTGAATTTACACGTTAGGTTAGAAAAGGACATCTTGTTATGGAGTTTCATTTGACAATGCTGAAGCATACATTTCATTGCATTTTTCCACAAAGTCAGTAAAAGAAGAAAATAAGAGAGATACAAAATGTATTTTTTTCCAAAGGCTAATAAACATTTAAATGAAAAACAACCCAAAAAAGGAGTCTACCTTCTTTCCATTAAGCATCTTGCTTTTTTTCCTAGCAAATCTCACATTTGTGCACTGAGATTGCTGTGTGTCCAGTGAAAGGGAACATATTTCCAGCCCACGGACATTTTCTGAAATGAGTTAGGAATAGATTTCAAAAATACAATTTGAGCATCTTTAAGAAAACCAAAAAATAAATTAAAATATACCATATCATAATCTTTCCTTCTAAGTGGAAGGAATGTATTTTCTCTCTGTTAAAAAGGGGCATTATATATAACACACACATGGGGGTAGGAGTAAGGATTTAATATAGATTGCTATAAATTAAAGCTTTAATTATGCAAATTCTTATGCAAATATTAAAAATAAACCCATTAACTCTGAGTGAAGCACACCAGGAAATAACTAAATTGTAACACACTAAGAACATGAATGGCAAGGTGTTAGTAAAAAGTTAGTTAGACTATGCCCGAGAAGTTTGAGTGCTTTCATTTTATTTTAGTGCAAAGTTGTAACTTCAGACACATAAACTCCTTCTCCTTCTCTTGGGGCAGTCACTCATGTCTGAGTTACCAGGGCTGACAGAATTTGTATGTGTGTGCATGGACACGTGTCAGAGCAACAAAGACAAGGGCATCAGTACGCTTGGGGCGCCGGTAGAGGACAAGTTAAGTGTATCATGTTGGAAGGAAAAATTCAGTTGTCTTGAATGCATTATTTTAGTTCTCATTCCCTTGAGAAGGGCCAGGGCTTTATCCTGGATTGTAGTAAAATGGTTTCACAAATAATATCTTCCTGATATAACAACATGAAACCAGCTGGGACAAAAATATTGCAATATGGAACAACATTTGGCTGAACACCTATGAACAAAAAGTAAACAGAAATGATTCAGTTGCAAATCTGCTTCCTACCATCCAGACTCAGAGTTCCTTTAATGTTTAAATGGAGAGAGCATGGGCTTCCTTGGACACATTTCATCACTGTTGAGATCTTCATGCTTTTCAGTACCATAGAAGATAAAGACGCAGGAGCGTCATGGCAGAAGCTGTTAAAAATGTCACCTGCAAATGCAAATACAAAGACAGAGAAATCTCATTATGCACAGGGTATCTGGGGGGAGAGAAACTACCAAAAGTGAAGCTCCAGCTCTACTGAAATCAGTAGGAAAGTCACCATTGACTTCAGCAAAGCCAGTAATTTACCTACGACTTTTACATGGCCAAGATAGCTAGTTGGCTCCACTAGCAATGCAGGGAGGTTGGAAAAAACTACATTACAGATGGGGTTTGATAACAAATTTCCTGGCTCAGGGGTCAGTACTGGGACCAGTGATGTATTAACATCTTTGTTGGCGACATGGACAGTGGGACTGAATGCACCCTCAGCAAGTTTGCCAATGACACCAACCTGTGTGGTGCGATTGACACGCTGGAGGGAAGGGATGCCATCCAGAGGGACCTCGACAGGCTGGAGAGGTGAACCTGTGTGAACCTCATGAAGTTCAATAAGGCCAAGTGCAAGGTCCTGCTCCTGGATCAGGGCAATCCCAAGCACAAATACAGGCTGGGCAGAGAATGGATTGAGAGCAGCCCTGAGGAGAAGGACTTGGGAGTTTTGGTTGATGAGAAGCTCAACATGAACCGGCAATGTGCACTTGCAGCCCAGAAAGCCAACCGCATCCTGGCCTGCATCAAAAGAAGCATGGCCAGCACGTCCGTGGGAGGTGACTCTGCCCCTCTACTCCACTCTTCTGAGACCCACCTGGAGTACTGCGTCCAGCTCTGGGGCCCCCAATATAGGAAGGACATGGACCTGTTGGAGTGAGTCCAGAAGAGGGCCACAAAGATGATCAGAGGGCTGGAGCACCTCTCCTATGAGGACAGGCTGAGAGAGTTGGAATTGTTCAGCCTGAAGAAAAGAAGGTTCCAGGAAGACCTTATAGCAGCCTTCTGATACCTAAAGGGGGCCTACAGGAAAGATGGGGAGGGACTCTTCATCAGGGAGTATAGTGATAGGATGAGGTGTAGTGGTTTTAAACTGAAAGAGGGTAGATTTAGATTAGATATTAGGAAGAAATTCTTTGCTGTGAGGGTGGTGAGACACTGGCACAGGTTGTCCAGAGAAGCTGGGGATGCCCCATCCCTGGAAGTGTTCAAGGCCAAGCTGGATGGGGCTTTGAGCAACATGGTCTAGTGGGAGGTGTCCCTGCCCATGGCAGGGGGGTTGGAACTAGATGATCTTTAAGGTCCCTTCCAATTCTAACCATTCTATGATTCTGTGTTAATCTACAAGAGGAAGAAACCACACTTCTGAGGGTTAAGGCTAGCAGAGCACACCTAGACTAGTAGTGGCTTTAAATAATCGGATCTGCTATATTGTGGCTAGACTAATATTTTATTTAAACTTTTTTTCATATCCATTACCTGAATACTGTGAGCACGCTCATAGGTAGTATTTTAAATTTAGGGTTGACTGATGGTCTCAACTGCTGTTAAAATATCATTTTCACACAAGAGGGCACTATTGCATTCCTAGTCATGGAAAAATCCCTCACACCTACAGGACTTCCTTCTCCTTTAGACCAGAACAGCAAGAGCAGAATAAATATTATCCAGGCCTTCTTCAAGGTGTAAATAGTAAGTACGGAAAACAGCTACTATGTCTCGTCTTATTTTCCTATGCAAATTTAGTCATCCCAAAGCCTTAGGACATCAGTCTGCACAGCCGCCTTCTGTAGGGTAATGTAAAAAAAAAAAAAATCTTAAGGCCTCAAATCTCATCAGTCGGCCATATTTCATCTCTTTCTACTTCTCAGACTGCCCTGCACAGAAATCGGTTATTTATTTGTCAATTTATGTTGGTACAGTGGATTTAATCCCCAATGCATTCCCTGGGCTTGTCTACCTCACATTGTTTGTAGTTCCAAAAATTAAAAGCTCAAGAAATTACCAGAACAAATACCCAGGGAATTGGGGTTTGTGCCTTGGTGTTTTGGTGTACAATGTAGCACACCTCATTTTAGCTGTAAGTACGTCATAGCAATTTCTTTTAAACATTTCTTACCCTTGTACCTTTCATGTATAGCATGAATGTTAAAAGACAGTGAAGTAAAACAAAGCTTTTCACTGCATATTTTTTCTGCCCCCTCCATCCCCCGGGGAGAGGCTGGAAGAACAAAAAAAACATTTGACTGCTATTAGTCGTACTGGTGAACATACTCCTAGGAGGTGTTCAACTATTACGGTGAAGAGCACAGTATGAAACAGCAGTGCCACGATACTGTGCTTGCCATAAAATACAGGATAACACTCTTAACTCAAAAGGTGCAGCCCTCAATGTCTAGCCAAGAACTGTCGTCAAGCGTGGATGCTCACTGACTCACATGGAAGACACATCTACAGTTCTCACAGAGGAAAGGTAGGGTGTAGAGGAGGACGAAGGGTAAAGCTTATCCTTACTTACCCCTCCAGTGAAGGAACCTCTCTAAATTTAAAGACTGGAAGTGTATTAACCTGCACAGGACCTCTTTCTATATTATGAGATCCTCACTTTCACAATGTCCAGTTGCTGCTGAAGCCCATTGTCAGGGATCAGATACTGATACGTGCAGGATGTGAAGACAGGCTGGCATAAATGTAGTACCTTGGCTTGAATCTGTCAGGCCTTAATGTGCCCTCACACTTGGTATCAGGATAAGTCAGTCCTGCGTGATACATATCAAAAGTCAGGAAAGACAAATGCTTCACACCTGAATCTCCACTCCATTATCCTGGGGGTTGTGCCATTAAGCATCTTTTGGAGGCAACAGGACATGCTGATATGAACTAAGTGGAAAAGAATGGAAAAACAAGGATACTTCACCTCAACTGACAGTAGCGTCAACTCTCAATTATCCAAGGCAATACTGGCAATGAGAGAAGACAACTTGTGCAAACCAAAGAAAAAACATCTATCATTCAAACTATGAAAATTAGGCTTTAAGAGCAGTGGAGTACATTGACTTTTGAAGAATTTGTAAACATGTTTCCTCAGAGATGAGGCAGTCTTAAGAAGTACGGTGCACAGCAGCCAGATGTGAACACTATATTCCAAGAATGGGTGGTGTAATAATCCTGAAGGTATCTCAGGATGGAGAGTTACTGTAAAACACCCAATCAATCCACCCACAGTTAACTGGGAGGTTATTATATTGCAGAACTACCTCATAATTATTACTAATAATGTGATAAGTGATGATAAGTTTTAGCTCTGTTTCTTTGCTCAAAAAGGTATTTTCATCACTGCATTGTATGACATGCAGTTGTGGATACCAAATGGTATCCAGGAACAACTGTTTGCTTAATTCCTTGGTTGTTGGTGTAAGTGTCTTGATCGAGGCCTAATCTTGCCTATTCCTGTGCCTGTGTAGAAATGATTCAAGGGAAGAGCAATGTGTGTGTGTATATATATACACACAATATATATATACACAATATATATATACTATATATATACACATGTTGCTCTTCCCTTGAATGACTGTCAGCTTTGACAATGTGTATATATATACATACACACATTGTCAAGGCTGACAGTTGTTCACAAAGTATTCTCTTTGGGTGAATTTGACCCTACTTATTTTTAGGAGAGATTGTCACGACTTAATTGAATTTGGTCCTTAGTTATTACTGCCTGAGGTATGGTATTCTCAGATGTCACAGGCCTGGAACTATCTCAGGAGAATCCGAAGTCATATGTAGGTTCCTTACTGACACTGGATCATTATCAGGCAGGCGCACAAACACAGTTTTAGGGACTACTGTCTGTCCGTAAGTAGGGACACTGTCTTCCTTGATCATGGTTCCTACTTTTAAACTGAGAACAAATAAGTAATACACTGGATAAAATGAAATTACTCTTCCACTTTAGGGTTTTTTTTTCCATTAATTTTATGATATATTTTGAGAATTGCAAAAGGTGCTGCAAAACTCATTTATAATAATTAAAATGGATATGATGCATAAGCATATTAGTTTTGGATCACAATAAATATATGATACAAGCAAAAGCTGACAGAAAATAATTTTCAATCTATAAATCATCACAGTATGAGACTTATTTCTGACTAATTCTTCAGTAATCTCTTACCTTATCATCTTTCAGTCCCCCCCCTTAGATAGTTTCCTCTGGAACACACACCTCTTTCCTTTTCTCACGAGTAGTTCAATCTACACCCCAGAAGACATAAAGATACATCTTGCTACACAAAACATTTGCTGAGTAAATCTTGCCTAAACTTTATGTTTATGAATTATAACTGTAATTAGCCCTACATGAGAGAGGGATTGTTGCTGTAATAAAAGATTCCTTAATTACGGACACATATAAGCCCAGGCATAAAGAAGCCAAGGCTTATTATTCAGCATGTAGACACTTTCCTTGTACTATTGCCATCAGCTCAACCACAGCAGATTATTTTTTTATCTGATGATGCAGCAATCAACCCAGAACTGTCACGACAGCAAAACACACCTTATGTACACTTGGATAATAGAAGTCAGAGCTGAGCAATGAATACGCAATAGAAATGGTTAGATGGATAATTTGAAGCCTCGGGCAAGAAGATTAAATTGGAGAACAGCAAAAAGAATTGCAGAGAAAATCCATTAATAATAGGCCCAGGCCAACACCCAATAGAAAATCCTAACTGGTTTTTTGTCTGATATTTCTTCCCTACAAGAATTGTAGGAATCTGAACTACTTAGGATACTGGCAGTGCTAAATCTGTGAGCATATCTAAAGCACACTAGAATTGCTTCACTGGAGCATCATTCCATGAGTATAAATTACAGTAGCATTTCAAATCTATTTGCATATGATTTACCACAGTATCTACTGCATCTGTGCATTATGGTGATTCAACAAAATTCATAAACAAACTAGATATGCTCTCCTAAGATAACCACACAGTGCACTTCAGTTAATAAACACCAAAATCCACTACTTAAAAGTACTTACACCGATTATGAAATCGATTACATTTCAGGATGACAGCCTCTCTTTCACAATAGATTTCAATGCACAGTAAATTAGAAGGGTTTCGCAGTTGTACGTTCAGAAAGTACTTCAAACTTTCAAGGATAATGGACAACACAGTGATGTATTGTGCCAAATACATTTTCTGAGAATGTAAGGCTTTTTTAAGTCATTGATATATTGACATCAATGTCTGGATGTATTACAGTGAATTTTAAATACTACAGTAGCCCTTATGTACTAATAGTCTAGAAGAGAAGGAGGGAGAAGGAAGAGTCAAAGCTATGTTGCCAAATGCAACTGAGGTGATAGCTGCAAATTCTACGAAATAAAGTAATCTTTTTGTTGCACCTAAAAGCAATGACTACTGCAAAGGTGCTCTATTCTACAGTTAAGGTCTCTTAAGGTAATTTTACCTCAAATAATAAATGATAAAAAGAATGACTATAGAAAAGGAAGTATGGAAATGAGTATACACCCACTGTTGCACAAGTGAATAAGGATGAATACTAAAAAAATGTTTTTTCATCACCCTTATAAGGCTGAGTCATCCTACACGTTACTTGTATTAAAGATAGCTGATAAGTCATTTTCAGGCAGCACTGAAAACCTAAAACCAGCTCTGCTTCATGTATATTATCTTGAAAGATAAGGATCTTTAGTTTACAAACTCTTCAGTGCCCAAAGTCTATAACCAGCTAAGAGCTAAACATCTAGTTTAAGCTTAGGTGCATCATCTAAGTACCTCTGGCAAAAGGGATAACCCCTCTTGCCTCCCTCCCAGCACATAATTCATCTTGTCTTAAGACGGGTGTAATGAATCACCACCTTATGCTACCTGTAGTGGATCTCCACTATCTAGATCTGCACTTGTGTAATACCCAGCACAGATTTTAACTCATAATCAACAGTATTGCAGGTGTCCTTCCCTTTGAGACCAGGGTTGAAGGGTTTGGTTTCCTCAGCCTGTGCTGCCCAAGGCATGCTTGAAGGCATGCTTCAGCTAGGCAGAGCAAAGGTCAACGCCCCTGTTTCTCTCCTCTTCTACAATTCCTTCCACGTAGTTTGTGTAACTAGCAGCTCAGCTGCCTAATCCTAAAAAGATTCATTCACAATCCTTGAACCAGCCACCAATGGTTCATTCTGCTCGCCAGTAGAAGGCTAGAGACTGTTTCATGTGGGACTTTTAACTACATCCCTTCCACAGCCATGTTCTTTCTCTCCACCTCAACACGTGTCCCATAAATGACAACTGACGTTCAGCTCTCACGCCAAGCTATAGCGTCAGCATCTCACACGCTTGTGGCTCAGGGCTGCAGCTTCTCCCTGTCTGTGGATGCTTTGCCTCATGGATCCAGGAAAGACACCGTGGAGACAAGTGGTGCTCAGAGCTGAGCCTCTGGTTAGGACTCTCCTCTCAGAGGGGACTGCCTGCAAAGCAGCTGCCTCATACTTCCCTGTCAAGTGACCATGTGGAGGCTTCAGACTTCAGGTAATTCAAGATCCTGTATTATTACTGTAGGCAATAATAATAAGTAGAAGCAATAAAAACACATGAAGTGACTAAGCAAATGCTCCCAATGACCATCTATGGTAAGGAAAATTATAAAGCAATAATGCACAATCGTTACTATCCTGTTATTTATCAGAGCCCACCAATTTCCTATGTTTTGTACAAGGAAACTGGTCGTAAATACTCTGTCAAATGACAGTGATCTGAGGTCACCGGGAAAGTGGATTTATTATCTGCAATAAATTATCTTTATCTTCCAAAAATAAATGTAGTAAAAATGTGAATGATGTATACTCACTGGAAGGTTTGCTTTTACAATGAATCCCCTGCAAACAGAAACAAAAATATTATAAAAGCTGAGGTAACAATAAAAAATAAATATTGCTTAATCATTGTACACAAATATAAATATATCTTAAACAAGTAAACATATTCACAGTTCACAACAGAAATCACCTTCAAGACAAAAAAAAAAGATTTTCAAATACAGTGAAAATGCACATCACTATTGCATATGACAGCCTGATACATATGGGGACACAAGATCAGCATTATCCTTATTTTCATGTATTTCTACTGAGGTGTAATTGTTATAACAAGTGTAACAGTTCCATCAAATACAGACATCATTTTCTCAGGTACTGCCATTAATACTGACCAAGAGCTTATTTATTGTTTTGTCAAACTTTACAATAGACTGCTTCGTGGCCAAAGAAACCAAGTGATTTTTTAGTGAAAGAGCACTGTTGAATATTACATGATTTTTAGAAGATCACACTAGGCCAATGGAAGGAATTGTTCCAGTAACTGCAAATGAAGTGTAGAGATAAGACTTGCCTTTTTTTTTTTTTTTTATGAGAACTATCTGGCTCAGAATCCTGAAAATGAAATTACTCAGGCACAGTACTTACCATGTTCAACTGGGAAAGTGTTTTTGTAAGTGGCAAAGTGAACCTGACACTAAGGTTTTAACAAATTTCTAGCTGTCTTTCAGACAGGCTACATCCATTTTCCCAGTAAAATAAACACTTAACCACACACTAAAATTCCATAGAGGACAAAAATAACAAATCTTATTCTGAGTAATATGCATGACATTCTAAAGAAAGGCTATTACTTAGCCAGCAAATACTGTTTTCTGCTGTTCTAGCATGCAAGTTTCTGACATAGCAGTATTCCTTTGTATACGGCATATATGTTTCCTTCTGCTTTCCTTTAAAATCAGTGTCTCATTCACAGAGACACTTTTGTCCCACCCACAAAAGGAGCAGGCACCACCCTCTGCTCTCAATCAGACATTTTAGGATCTTGTCAATAAGCCAACAATCTGCTAGTCACAGAGCCAGCAAAAGTTTCTCAGTGGACATTGGAAGTTTTCAAGTTGTAGACACACACAGAGGCTGCAGCCCGGGTAAGCATTAGCACATCATAAAATAACTATTGCTTGGTCTTCCATGAAGCTTTCGTCCACAGGTAATTCTGTTGTCCTCATAAACACAGCTGTAGAGCAAAATCATATTATTGCTGCAGGTGAGAAATGACAGAAGTGTGTTTTCTGTCCTGCATTGATGCTTTTAAGTTTTTGGTTAGATAAGCTTGTTTTAAAAGAAGACCTTTAGAAAACCAGTCACCAGTATCTAACCTGTCTTAGTTCTCATTCCTTTGTCCTTTTGGCACTTTCACTTTTAATAATCATTTCTAGAGGTAAGTTGCCATCTTTTACAATTGGCAGTTTGTCACTGTGACTCATAAAAGTGCAGATGCCTAAAAGGTGGTATTTTAAACCACTTTTTATAGTAAGACAGAGATGGTCATATACTTTCACAGACTGAAGATTATAAAAATTACTTGTGACATTGTTAAAGATATTACTTTGGCTGCTTCTACGCAATACTACATCGACACTCAAAGAAGGAAATCCAAAGGAAATCAAACTTCTTTACGTAACTGTTCTATAACTGGGTACTTCTATTTCAATTCATAAATTCGTCAAATCCCCCTGAAGGACTGAAAAATTTAACCGATGTGACCTCATTTCTGTTGCAAAGTGTTCATGGAAATATTTCTCATTTATGAATTATTTCTGCCCCCCACCCCCAAAAAAAGCTTCACTGGTTGTTTGCTGGTTCTCCCAATGCAGATTCATCAATACAAAGACGACGACTATGGCTTTCTGAATAATTCAGAGCAACACTAAATCAATAAAAGTGGAACATGCCAGCTCATATAAAACTCCACTGGAATTTTAACTGCCATTTCGAAGCCCTAATTTTGAATTATGTCTAATCAAACCCTGCAGGAGTATGCAGAAGGACAATTTGAATTCAGCCTCTTTACTTGAGGTTCTCCATGGCCTTAGGGAGTGGAATAGACAAATACACAAAATGACTGCAAAAACTTGAGGGAGTGAGTTAGGGAGCTAGCTTTCTTGGTGAGAAAACCTAACTGTTGGATCAACTAATTGCTGAGCTACTGCTTACTGGAAGAAATTAATCTCTCATGAGGTTGATAATTTAGCAAATTACTTCCGTATTTTTAACTTCCAATTCTGCAGCCAGACTATTGAAAATATTTTGGTTAGGTGGCTTGAGAGAGCTCCCAATTGCCAGTCAAAATTTCTTAGAGCATCATCTTTAAACTAACTGTTCTTTCTGGTTACGATCATGGTGCAAAAAATACAGCTGAAAAAAAATCAAGATCCCATTGAATTAAGCAACAAAAATCTCACAAAACTCGGAGTATTCAGCCTTTTACTTAAAGAATGCCAGTGCTTTGGAGTCCCTGTTATGACACCTGAAAAATGCATATCGTATATAAATAAAGTACCTTAGGTTACAAACATGAAAAAACCCCACCCACTTCTGTGGGGCTGTGCGACAATGCAGAAATCCTCCTATACGTTCTAGTCTATCCTAATTAAATCTTGTTTTTCCACTATTGCTCAGATAAATCCTACTACCTGAGCACCTTCCAGTACCATCTTGTGTTTATTTTCTCATCTTCTCTATGGGAAAAACGAAACACATCCCTCAGTGATTTTCGCTCTGGTAGGGAGATGTTTTGTCATTCTTGGGCACTTGGTTTTGTTCTGGGTGAGGAGTTGTTGGGAAGGTTTACATAAATAATCAAACACTGGCACAAACACTTGCCAGTTACAGCGAGCATTTGGTCACAGCTCAATTCCTTTTTTAAAATAAGTGTTTCTTTTTATTGTACAATACCAAGGGGGGTTGGGGTGGTGTTTTCTTTTATAATCATTTTGCAAAATAGTCAAAAGAGACCATTTGTCTCAAAGAAGAACTCAAATAAATTAACCAAGTTCCTCTCCCACTTTCTATATCTTTTGTTTTCAGGAATTTTCAGTGATGAATGCAATAGAAAAACAAAACATACTAAAACCAGAATGGAAATTTTCTTCCCCTTTCACAAATGCTGTGGGTGTCTTTTATGCAAAAATGAGATCCTGAACATGATAGTACATTTTACTCCTATACAGAGAGCATCTTTGATTTATATCTGCTTTGGCAAAGAGCCTAAGCAAAATATACTTACACAATGCACAAACAGTTAGGGATTTTCCTATTTCTCTAGGGTTTTCCCCGTTTGTGGTATTACTCAACTGTAGCTAGAGGTTATCTGAACAGACACCACCAATGCGCAGCATTCTGAATAGAAGGTGTGGTGCCAAATTTTTAGCTAGCACAGCAACTTCTCCTCAATCTAAGCCAATTGTAATATCACATTGTTTTGTTTAAAGACCGTAGAGAAGAAAGTGAGATCAGCAGAGGAAGACTTGGATTTGGGGGCACAGAGAGTATTATCATGAATTAAAATTGCCAAGGAAAAGAAACAAAGATTAGACCTGCTTGCCACTTCCTTTCATATCCCCAGGCACTGAATCAAGCGTAGAAATGTGGAAATTCTTCCCTGAGTGTTCTGTCATGCAGGAAAGAGCTTGAGGCAAATTTGGTTTCGTGGTCTACCTGTTAGCTCTGTTTATCTCGTTCATAGAAGAGTCCGTGGCAGCTCTTCCACAATTCCAGAAGGAAGAGTAATATGCCTGTAAATGCCTTAAAATGTATTCTTTAATTGGGAACAGGCTGTCAGACACTTAACATTCATTCATTAAGGTGCCTGTATTCAAGTCAGTGAATGCACAGTGAACAGTTTTTCCCCCTTTTGAAAAATCCTCAGTCGCAAAGCTATTACCTACCTTCCTACTTTAGGTTCAACTGTCAGAGAGGGCAGACAAGAAGGAACATGACCATCTTGTGATGTTCCTCTCAAGGGACTGTAGGTAGCATGGGACGGTACGTAGCCTTACAACACAAGCAAAGTGTCTTAATGTGGTGTGGTCTTGTAAGAACTGATACACAAGCTGTAGCCAAAAGGCTGATAAAGATGATGAATCTAATCGTGTTCTTTTTGATTTCCAGAGAGGGGATTCTCTGCACAAATCCATCTTATTCTGCACACAATTAGAATGGATCTCCCAGATCACTCGTTCTAGTTCACTGATAAGCACAGATGCCACATCATCTAATCCCTTTCAAAAAACTAGTGAAGCTTCATTTTAAAATCAGTCAGACTTGCGTGTGTGCACTGCTCCAATATCCAAGGCTATTCCAGAAGCCCTGTTCTCTGACAGCACCAATCTTTTAATTTCTAATGTAAACACAATAATGGTTAGCTTGTATAGACTTTCGATTGTGCACATTACCTTTTCACTTAAATAGATGTTTTCCACCCTGGAATTTACTTTCCATTTATCAGCCAGTAATATACCTTTTCTCAGCTTTTTTTGCCGGACTATAAAAGCCAAGCTCTTTTATTCCTCTGTAATAAACCAGGCTTTCCTTCTTGCCATTACTCTTCTCAGCAGCTATTTCTACTTTAATGCATCTTTCCAAATGGAGTGACCAGAACCATGCACAGTTCTGAAGACAGTTTCCCACTAGCGTTTATTTGGTGCCTTGCAAAGTGGTAATATTCTTTGTCTCAATTGGGAGCACCACAACCATGTCAAATCAGTAGTTATCCTCTAATACAGAAAGGCAGCTACTTACCCCTTTCTGTGTAGGCAACCTACCAGCCTTCTTTTCTCCATCTGCTCAGACCATTCAGTTCATGGAGGGAAGAGCCTACAGATGCTGGGCCATAACAGTCCTAAATGATTTCTCATGGCTTGTAGTAAAAATCCTGACAATGCTAATGTGGTCTCAATCTCTTCCATAAAGAAAAGGGTCTTTGAGCAGTGGACAGCCACAGTCAAAGTGCTGTGGATCTGCACAATTTAAGAACTTTGGATGGAAACAGAGAGGATTCA